TCCCGCCAATGGCGATAGAATGATAAGGATACGGCATGTAACATTGATAAGCACATTCATGACCATCATGTGTCAATCGAGTGTCTGCTGCAGATAAAAAACTTGGCCATGGCACATGTTTCTTGTTTGGCTTGCAGTTCCCCTCATTCGAGAAGGCGGGGAGGAGTGACGGGGAGTTCGGGGAGTTCGGGCGATCGCATGAACCATGAGGAGAATGGAGGGGAGATTATACTAACATCTTTACCCGCATCCATGACCTCGTTGAGGACGTCTTTGTAGGTCTTTTGCGAGAAACCACTCTGCTCACGAGTGGCAGTGTCGTTCCTGAAACGGTCACTGAGGATCTCAGGACCATAGTAGAAGGCATCTCCAAAGGGTTCGTGAACGCTCTCTAGGATATCGCGGCGGGCCATGAAGACCTATTAAATAACCAGACTTAGCATTATGGCAGAGTGCGCAATCATGACAATTTCAACACTGGGGAGGCGGCATGATCTTGGGATCTCGGGGGCTCAACATACCCGCTCAAAGGCCGTAGAGCACGCACGTGGGTGCGTAGCAGTAAAGATAGGGCGGAGCGCCATTTTGGGATAAAGAACCAAGAGTAAAAGGGAGATATAGCAGTTAAGTGTTGTCGCTGCAACATCAAGCTGGAGGAAGAGCAGAAAGGGTGAGAGGAAGAGCAAATCTTCAAGGACAAGAAACAGCAGATCAAGCCATTAAAAGGTATTCGAGGCGCCCAGCGCCCAGTAGGCAGGTAGGTACCTGAGTACTCACAGAGTTTGCTGGAGAGCTTCCGGACCATCGCCCGATGGTAATTGTTGTAGCGATGGTCCGTAGGCTATTACCAACCTGGTTAGATCCTCCCACCTTGAACCTGGGCGTGTGGCCCATGAACGACCCTTAGTGGTCTCCCTCTGAGTGTTGCGCATACGGCGTGTACGTCATGTTGGTCGATAGTGGTCTCCGCTGGGGCAACTAGGACGAGATATCTCTCAAGTATCCGAGTTTTCTCGCTCCTCATTGATGCTTTTTGAGCCCATCCCACAGTCCCCCAGGGCTTTATCGGGCCCTTCGTTTTTTTAACCCCTGTCCTTAGTGACTTCGCAAGGCTTTCCCAAGGGTCAATTCCTCCGACCTGCCCCACGCGGCTGGGTCAAAGCCTGATCCAGGCCAATCCTGTGAATCTCAAAAAACGCATGTCTTTTTCCGTTTCTGTGAGTTGTGTCCTGCAAGTGCCTGAAACGGATTTGATAGCGTAAACTCAGCATTGGCAAACATGTTCGCGTATCCCGGGTAGTGGGGGAGGCGTCTCTTTTCCCATGGATGTGTGTCACCCTGCACAAGAGGGCATCGTGGTGCTGGTCTTGTGCAAGCATACGTAAGGTACCCATCTGAGGTACCTAAAAGTGAGACGTTGATAAGCGACCGATATTCCGTTTACAAAAGCATTTGTCTTTGACGTGGAACGGCCCGGTGGTGGTACAGAAAATACAGTATGATCTTCAATGCGCCCAGGCCCTGCTAAAGAAAGACCTGCACAGGGCGACACTCAAAGAGCACGCAATCAGCCCCACTGGACTCACGGGGAGTTCTCCAGGGCTTATAGAGCAACTGCCCTGTTTCCGCGGGGAGTTCGTCGCCTTTTGCATCGCGTGTATGCAATAAGTCAGGTGTTGCTAGTCGTCAAATTGAATGCACGTATATTATGGAACTGGTGAATAATTCGTTTGTTGCTTTTGTTAAAGTTTATATATATCTCTCCCAGCTTCCAAGCCACCTCCAACTCTCGGCCACACGACTGATTTTTTCTAGCGCACCGTTGACCCGGCCCTCAGGATCGACATACTTGTGACCTTCAAATTCAATGAAGAAAATGTACTGGAAGGGTTTCACGAGGCTTGGTAGAGTGTTGATGCTGGTCAAGTTGATGTCGAATGTTCGGAAGCAGCTCAACACATCTGCCAAAGCTCCAGGTGATGTGTGAGGTACTGTGAAAGAGACCAGCGACTTGCTTCCCTTCTCGGCAACAGCCTTTTTGGTTTGGTCAAGGTCCTTCGGGCCTGCAGCATTCTTACCAATCACGAAGAAACGGGTCGTGTTATCCTCTCTATCCTCTATCGATCTTCCCAGAAAATCGAGACCATGAAGTTTAGCGGCGAGCTCGCTTGAGATGGCGGCCCAGGTACCCGTTGTGTCCTTACTGACGATTTCAGCTGCCTTGCTAGTTGAGCTGACTTCGAAAATTTCGACACCCTTGAGATATGTGGAGATGAAAGCGGTGCATTGGCCAAATGCCTGGGGGTGCGAATATAAGCGTTGAATGTGCTTGAGGCTGGCCAGGGGCCTGGACCGTGGTTTTGAAGGTGACGGGTCTATCGCTGTCGGGGTGCAAGTACCGGACCCTTCAGCGATGTCTTCGACAGCTGGTACAGGGCTCTTGTGACCAACAAGGCAATGGTGAACGTCCACGTATGTCTCGCCATCGACAGTGATATCCGGATAATGGTTCGTTCTGTCAGCCAGGTTGTCCAAAGTGAAGCTCACAGAACCATTGGTGGAGTTCTCAAACGGCACAACACCAGCTTGCACCTGGCCACTTTGGACCTGGTCAAATACGTCTTTGCCAGGAAAGTCAGTACGGACATCCCGACTGCGGTGCATTGACTAGAACGTACCGTCAATAGTAACTGCAGGGGAGAATTCCCATGTTGACTCAGAAAAGGCCTGACGGACAGCCTATGAAGCGAGGTCAGCCAGGGCTAGTGCCATGCGGTCGTCGCTATAGGGCACTGCTGCTTTACCTGATGGGTGTATGAGGCCACTGGGCCGAGGAAGCTGACAACAGGTTTGTGTTGGCTGGCCATGATACCTTGGTTATGATCGGTGTCACCGGATCAACTGAGATTTTTTGATGCGGCGTCAAACGGAATTGGGGTGCAGCGTGACTAGACTTCCAGCCCCGACTCTTAGGGTTGTTCGTACACCAAGAATGGTTAGGTCTCTGATAATGTAGTGTTGCAGTGTCTTGCTTGAGGATGAGGCTGTCACCAAGCTGTGAGAATTGGGATGAGATGCGGTCAATTGGCTCAGTGACGAAACTTCTCGTGTGCCATTCCGTCTTTTCTCGTCTGTTAGTGTCTTCGAATTTACTTTTTGCCTGTCTTTGACCCAATTGAACATCAAAGAAGGCGTTGGCGATGTCGTGCTAATGTCGTGATCGTGGGGGAAGAATGAATTGCCTCCCGGTTGTGTGATGAAAAGTTGCAGGGTAAGTAGTACGGCACTAACATTTTTTAGGCGGTCAAATACGGGGTTTGAGATAGCGAGCCACTTGTTCATGCGGGGTTGAAATGGCCTCTACGAGCTCGGTTTAATATCGAGAAAATGTTGGTTATGGCTTGGTAAGAGAATAAAATAATCAAAGTCCTGTGAAATGAGTCCATGCCTCGTATAAAACTTATACAACTAACAGAACCCGGTATTCTCATGGAGGTGAGAAAAGAAAGGAGGGCGATACATATGAAAGGTTTGATTGATAGTTGTAAATATTGAAATTGTCTCCTATGAGCTCTTCTTTTCTAAGGCGGTTGGTTGAATTGACTTGACCTAGGGTAACAAAGGAAATACATAATAACATACACAAACACATATAGAAGGTTATCATAAGTAAGGAAAAGACTTAGGTGAGTTACATAAGACTTAAAGGTAACTTCCATATAGGTAACTTAGTAGGCTCCTGGGCTAATTGAGAGGTTAGAGGTCTGTCTTCTCTTGATTTAGTACTCAAGAGAAAGAATACCTGCAAGCTACTAAGTTAATCATCAATTTTATAACCCCTTGAACTAAATAATCTACTCTTAAACACATTAGATCTAACTATTTAAAAGGGCCTAACAAAGAAAGGCACTATGAAAGCCCAACCTTATTCTTGTGATGTGCTATCGATTTAAACCTTGCAGCAGGCTGATAGTGCAACCCAGGACATAACAAAACCTTGGGCCCGTCATAATCGAACGGAACCGGTTGTATTGAGAACTATTCACTATTGATCAACTGTTCTTTTATCTCACAAATTGCTCTGCAAAGCTTGCCCCGAGTCCAACAGCTTCATAGTGCTTTCGTGCCTTGTCCAACTTGCTGAAAACATCTTCCACGCCAACAGGATTGCCATCAGGGTCAACATAGATATAAGCTCCCGTGACATGAAAAATGGTCACCATCTCCTTCACGTCCTCCGGAACCTCAAGAGTATGAATGTCTCCAGGGGGCTCAAAGACATAACCGCCCTCTGTTGCCCACCACGGATGTTCTAGATAATGCCAGCGGCCCTTGAGAACTGCTGCGTGCACGCAACCAGCGTGGCGATGACGCGAGAGGATACCAGATCTCCGGACTCGAAGAATGTTGACAAAGTAGCCGCCAGAAACGGACAGGAGGAGAGGTCGGAACCAAACGTCTGGTGCTTGTGGGACCCAGAGACGATCGCCACATTCAGAGTCGAAGATTCCTGGAACGACGAGGTCGTCAGGAACAGCGGGAAGACGGGGACCTCGATATGGAACAGCAGCTTGATCCGCACGTTCTTTGAGCTCCTCTTTCTTCGAGGTATTTGCTATCGTGGTGATAGTTTGCGTTGTAGTAGCCATCTTGGTGACTGATAAGATTTCGTTGGGTATGAGGAGGGAGAGTCAGTTCGTACTGGTGTAGGAAGCTTAGAGACAAGCTGGTGTTTTATAACCCTTTACCACCAAGCGATCAACACATTGAATGCTATGTATCTTATATGTAAATTCTAGTGCAGCAGAGGTAGTGAGGTGATAAGAGTGCAAGTCTTGAAGGCGCATGGCGTAAACTGTGGCGCCAACGGCGGCCCCAGATTGTGGGTGGAGCTTAATTGAATGAAGGCCGTATGTCGCTGACATATCTTCGGGCAATGAATTTGTATTCAATGGGGGAGAAGGAGGAGAAGCTTTTTCTCGGGATTCGGAACTTCGCAATTACGAAATGGAAAGCTTGCAGTCCCGTTGCTTCACCACATCTGGCCAGTCCACCTTATCTTGGTCTTCCCTCCTTGATCCATCCATTCTTCGCCGCCATACCTCATCAAGAACATCGAGACATACTTCAACGTTTCTGAATTTCCGCCACTTGATCATCTCGCCAAGCTTCTCTCTAATGATTACTATCTCACTTGTCTCATGGGCTTCTCCTCCCACCATGAAAAGGGGGAAAAGGAGGGTGCATTCCACGAGGCAGCCCTCTGACACTTGTCTGCTAAGCTTACATATCGACTCTACACAAGCCTTCAGCTTCGCTTTCAGAATGCTAGAATAGCTTTCGATGTAGCGAGAAAGGGTTCGGTAAAGATGAATGAGCGCCGCGTTACGGTAGGCTTCACCAAGCAGCGCTAGCGGTGAACCATCGTGGCCCGCAGGGCAAACCCAACTCTGGAGCTCACTTTCTATCTTGTGTGAGCGTTTGGAAAAACTATGACCGCGGGTCTGTGATACCAGTTTTGCTTCTGCGAAGTCGGCATTCAGAATGCTAGTCTCGGAGATGAGATAGAGTATCCGCGATGCAAATCCAAAGTAGGGATATGCAAGTGTGTCATCCTCTGAGGCCCAGTAGAACCCCATTATTAATGGACGACAATCCATCGAGACACTCATCATGATGTCGTGATAGGCGAAATTGCGGAGAAGCCACCTCCCCTCAAAAGTAGCCTGAACAGCTTGCTTCGGATCTACCACCGCGAGAGAATCCTCTGTCTGCCAAGCTAATGCAGCAGCAGCGCCTTTCAAGTGAGGATACCAGGCATCGGTAGCCTCGGATATTGACTCGATAGAACAGAGGACCATGGTCACAGCAAGGCACATCTCAGTTGATAGCTCACTCTGCTTCATTGACTTTTGAAGCTGAGCCAAAGCATGCCCGCGGTGCCTTAGTGAATCCGCTCTGAACTTCTCGTCGCGTAATGCTAAGTGGGAAGAAGCCCATGCTGAGATGGCATACATCAGGGCAGGGCATTCGAACGCCATGGGAAGAATAACTTTTCAGGTAAGCTGATGAAGTTATCTAGATGCCTAGTGTTCAGTGCACATACCAGAGAGGAAACAGTTGTTTTCGAGATTCGTGGTCAGTAGAAACGCAAGAGTCACGGTGTAGTAACGCAGCATCACTCGTCTGCTTCCCACAAGATCTTTCGAGTCGGCGTCACCAGGTTCCAGCGATAGTCCAAGGGGTTGACCTAGTTGCGTGACCTCTTTGATTTGCTGATCTATGCTCGGAGTCCTCATAACTCTTGTCTCAGTCGCTTCAGAACCTCCCGTTGCGGCCCCAGGTGACGGTAGCACTGAGCGTGGAGGCTCACGCTTGCATACTAGGTTGAGACGCAAACAGTGACTGCAGATAGGCTAAAGCTGATCACATTTCTTCTTTCTGGGATTGATTAGTATACCAGTAGCGACCTAACTGATGCATGAGGCCCTCGACATGCCGTTGACGACATCTTAGACATCCACGCTTCTGTCGAGTATAGCCACCTCTCCGAGTTGAAGCCCAAGGTGGGGTTCTAAGTGATTCGTTCATGGGACTCAAAATCTCGATCCGATTCTACTCTCATAGGGGCCCGAATGAGCTTTGAAATGACCAAGAGCGCTATGGGCGGTGATATGAAAAAAGAAAATCAGAGAGGAATGTTTGAAGACTGAAAGTTTCGGGCCACATCCCGTCATCAACGACACTCATGCACGGCGCTATGAGCGGGAGAGGCTAATCTGAAGATGGATATCTGGTAACGTGGGGCTATGCGGGGAACCTAATCCTGGGGTAGATCGTTGCAGATATCGAATAACTTATAAACGACGAGTCAGAAAGGAGCAGACACAAGAAAAGATGTTGTAATACTGCAAGATTGATTGGAGTTGCTAGCTGTAGCCATGGGCCGCACTGATGTCTTTTCTCAAAAGGCTAGGGCTTATGGAGCTTAGACAGACTGATAGCCATTTACTTGTACAATACGGTACCTGAAAGGACATCGGCAATTAGAACTATCTATTTTGAAGCATGCTTAGAGTCACGCCCCTTGAATATCAATAACCTCAGACATTACAGTCTGAATAGATTCCCTTAGAATGCCGACCATCCGTCCCAGCTCAGACTCAGTTACCACATATGGGGGAGACATTATGGCATGATCAACATGGATGTCTCCAGTTTCACCCAGGTTTCCCAAAATATTCAAGCCCAGATCAAGCGCTTTGTCGACAATCTGGTGACACAGTCTCATATCTGCCGGGAAGGGTGTTTTGGTGCCACGATCCTGAACGAACTCAACGGCCCAAAAAAGACCACGCCCACGGATATCGCCGACATATTCCATATGTCCAAGATTTGTTCTCAGGAGCCTCTCCAAGACCTTACCCATTTCTCGGGCGTTAGTGAGAAGATCTTCATCACGAATGATGCGTTGAGCCTCGAGGGCTGCAGCGCAAGCGACCGGGTCAGCCTATTGAGAATGTCAGCCAGTTCCATGTTAACTTCTTGTCATATAAAGGTTACCTGTAATGTGTGTCCATGGGCTAATCCCTGAGATCCGTCTGCGAGGGCGTCGAATATCTTATTGCGAAGCAACACGCCAGACAGGGGAACAAACCCCCCACCAAGAGCTTTGCCTATCATCTGAATATCAGGCCCTGAAATGGCCTCCTGTTCCTAAGCATGCATAGTGCCTGTTTTCACCATACCGCACATGATCTAAGATGTATTAGAAACTATGTTCATCGGCGCAATATGCAGTAACTCACTTCATCCACGATCAAGAGGACATCATGTCTGTCACAAATCTCTCGGACAGCTTTAAAGTATCCAGGTACAGCAGGAAGGCAACCTAGAGTAGTTCCACTGACAGTCTCAGCCACAAATGCAGAAACGTTCTCGGGTCCAATACGGAGAATCTCTGCCTCAAGTTGATCTGCCAGTCGCTTGACATAATCTTGGTCGGATTCGTTTCCCTTCAGCCTATAAGCGAAGCAGGGGTCAACGAAGCTGACATTATGAGAGAGCCAGTGGCCGTACATGGCCCTTCGAGATTTGTGGCCAGAAACGCAGAGTGCTCCAATTGTGTTTCCATGGTAGCTCTGTTTTCTTGCGATGACATGGTGTTTCTGGGTCATTCCTCGCTCGTGCTAGTATTGTGTTGCGAGCTTGATAACAGCATCAGTGGCTTCGCTTCCAGAGTTGACGAATATGGCCTTGGACAGACCACCGGGTTGCCCTTGCAGAAGCATCGATTCAAGCTCCTCGGTCACGTCGCAAGTGAAACGTGCGCCAGAGTAGAGGTAAGGAAGCTGGTTCATCTGGTTCGCGACCACTTCAGCAATCTCTGGACGTCCAAAGCCGAGACATGATACGGCTGGTCCGGCTGAAGCATCAAGGATTTCACGGCCAGACTCAAGAAAGAGAGATAAGCCTGAGGCAGAAACGACTCTGTCAGGCTGACGAGCGAATGAACGATGGAGAATGTTTGAGTTGGAGACAAACGGGTGAGCCATCGTGGATAGTTGATGTTTATGGTCTGTTACTAGATGCCAGATCTGGATCTTTGAGACCTAGGCTAGCTAGATATATTCGACGTATTACCGACTATTTTTCAGTCTTACTTGATATCTATGATACTTAGGTGACTTTGCATCAGCCTCCGAACCAATCCCGAACTTATCTCTCATGAACCCCCCTCATGAAATCCCGCCGTTGGCGCCAAATGAGCTTCATAGCGGCGCCAACGGCGTGGAAAGGCCCAGACTATCAACTACTGATAGACAGGGTTTCTCCACACTTCTCCGCGTTGAAAGCTTCGCGCCTCCATACACCGGCGATAGGTAAATTGCTAGCCATCCGTGTAAGTGAAGACTACCAAACTAAGGTGAGGAACACCCTTCGCTATCGGCTTGGCCTACCTTATGGTATTTATGAAGATACCTACCTCAGTACGTAGTAGTTTTATCAATGCATTAGAACTTTCTATTGGCCAAGGTGCCCTGCTTAAATGCCATGGCCGCTTGGAGTGATTTGTGTGGTAGTTAGTGGTATGGGTCTTCTTGTTTAATATAAAATGAGCAAGAAAAATCCCCTTTTCACGTCTTTCAAGACATTCCTATTCTCTCCTTAAATCTATATTCAACCTTGTCTCGTTGGTGCATCAATATTCATTCCAGTCATGCCAGAGTCTATCCTCACGAGTCCGGGGCCCCATTCTCTCAAAGCCAGGGATGAGCAAGAAAAGTCCCCAAGTCATCTTGGTGAAGTTGAAACCATTCGAAATGGTAGCTCAGACCCTGAAAGAAACGAAGATACACACCGTGTCTTCAAGCCTCGGCACTCTCAGATGATAGCCATAGGGGGTGCTATTGGAACTTCACTGTTCCTAGGAACCGCCCAGGTTCTTCGCATTGGCGGTCCTCTGTTCCTCCTGATTTCGTATGGAGTTCTGTCTATACTGATTTACTGCATCGTCACTGGAATTGCCAAGGTTGCAACTTATCTCCCTGTTCCAGGAGGCACTATGGCCTACTACGGACACAAATATGTGTCTCGCAGCATGGGCTTTGCAATGGGATATCTCTACTGGTACTCTCTTGGCATCTTGATCCCCTACGAATTCGTCGCTTCTACACTTCTCATCAACTATTGGGGAACTGCGGTTAATGGCGCCGTGTGGATCACCATCATATACGTTATCATCGTCATTGTTAACCTCTTCTCTATCGGAGTCTTTGGAGAGTGTAAGTTTTGGAGCGCAGGGATGAAAGTTCCCCTCATCTTAGGCCTCATCTTTCTCACAATTGTGTTGTTTTTCGGGGGAGGTCCTGATAGAGATGCTCTCTACTTTCGATATTGGAAAGACCCTGGTTCAGTGAGCACTCATATCGTGGAGGGCGATGCCGGACGACTTGTTGCACTTCTTCAGTCTTCTGTTCTAGCACCCTTTGCATTCGTCTTGGCTCCTGAACAACTCATTGTGACAGCGGGCGAGATGCAATCGCCACGCTATAACCTCCCCCGAGCCGCTCCACGATATATTTGGCGGCTGATCGTTCTTTTCATGCCCTCCGTCCTCGGGATTGGTGTAGTCTGCGCATCAAATGATCCCCGGCTTACAGCACCTGGGACTGCGCGGTCTCCTTTCATCATCGCTATCAAGAACGCCGGCATCCCTGTCCTGGATAGCATCGTCAATACACTGATCCTCCTTTCAGCGATCACGGCTGCGAACGCATTCCTCTACTCTGCCTCTCGAAATCTTTATTCGCTTGCAAAGGCCGGAAATGCACCTGCGATATTCAAGAGATGCAATAGATATGGCCTTTCATATCATGCAGTCTTGATCACTGCCTCCCTGGGATGCCTAGCATACCTCAGCCTGTCAAATAGTAGTCTGACGGCCTTCAACTGGCTAATCAATCTCACCAATACCTCGGGCTATATTAGTTGGATCTGCTGTGGTATAATTTACGTGAGATACCGCAAAGTCATCACTCATCATAAGTTGGAGTCCCCATATTGCTCTAGTCTCCAGTCATGGGGCATGTACTTGGGAGTCATTGTGTCCATGATTCTTTTGCCCATCAACGGATTCACTGTTTTCTTTCCTTCACAGTGGTCAGTGGGTGATTTTTTTTCACGGCTTACATCGGCATTCCTGCGTTTCTGCTGATCTACTTTGGCCACCGACTGTATCATCGGGGAGATGGATGGGTTAGAAATCCTGAAGATGTTGATATGTATGAAGGGATGGATGAAGTACTGGCTGCAGAAAGACCACTGCCTGTCAGGGGCAATATCACTCGGAGACTGTGGGCCGTGGTAGAATAATCTTTGAATATCTGCTCTGGCAAGAAAACCTCTGACCCTAAGCTTGGATACCAAAAACAAGTAGTCTGAAGGTCTACCAAGACTAATATAAGTTTATATGAGTATTCTTGCTATTTAGAAAAGAGTTCTCAAATCGGCCTGCCTCCCCTTTGATAGTCTAAAACGACATCGCATTCCTGGTACAAGCTTCATCTTTGCCTATGATGTTCTATACCGAGCGTATTAGAACAGTGAGATATATTTGAGAATGAACAGTTCAGCTTCAAGGGGTGATGGAATTGATAGGCCATAGCTGATGGTTATCCTTCTCGTGATAACCAGTCCAACAGATGAGAGACTTCTTATCTCTAATTACAATACCAAAAATAGTTGGTCTAAGGCTCTACTAAGCCATCCCATACTAACTTAACTCCTATTAAATTTACCTGAGTCTTTTTATTATTTCAGTTACGAGTCTTAATTCTCTTACGGAGTCCCCCCCTTAGATTTATGTATTGACCGTTTTGTCCAACTGCAAACGCACCGTATATTGAAGGACCGCCTTCAATGTTCGCAATGCTGGTGAAGATGGATATGCCGGAGGTGATATGTATGAAGGAGATGATGATATGCTGGTTCTCAATGCTAACTATATCATCGATGCTTGTGCATAGTACCCACAGGGAGGTAAACCGGCGGTGATAATGATTGCATCCAATGATACATACAAGCATTGCAAACAAATCGATCGGATCGTAGGGCCGGGTGACAATTAATATCCATGTGCGCCTGATAATCCTTGACAACCTCCTTATTACCTTGGACCCTATACGTCGCATTGACTCGTGAGGACCCAGACTTTGAGATGCCCCTATCATATTGTTGGCACATATAGGACAAAGCTCTCAGGAGTGCGTGGGTTTTGATATCAGATCGCCCACTTTCCGATCAATAGAGAGTCCAAGCGTAGAGAGCAGGCACGGATTACGAGGCCAGTTACCGTGGCGGACGGAGCTCGTTTGACGACCATATTATGGATGTACTCCCTACAGACAATGGTCTTCAGCGAGTTTAGCCGAAGCGTAGATTTCCATCCGCCGGGGGTAAGGCGCCTAATCAGTGGTATTGACCGAAGCAATGTGGCCACTGCAAAGGATGGATATAAGAATTAAAGTTCTGAAGCTACACTACATGTGCAATGCATACCCCGGATAACACGAGGGACTCATCAAAGATAACAAGGAACAAACGATGCCGAAATTAGAAGTTCACGATCACTGATAGCTTGATAGGAGATTAGGTGTGGGAAGTGAATGCGATTGTGGACATGGCCTGACAGCCTCCATTCCTCTGAGAGGTCGGTAAGCACGTGGTAAGCAATTAAGTTACGGCTAACTTACCATTCTTATGCAAGATGGGAAGAAGCAAGTAACCCATTTCAAGGCAATGAACCACTACAATTCAATAGCTCGTTCACGGACATTTTTTCGTTCCTCAGTTGTTTCTCGAACGCATTGGGGGAAACTAGCAACACGCTGTTATTATTTCCCTGCATCAAGCTTCACAACCAGCAAGAAAACAACTGGACAGCAAAGCACAGTATGGCACAGCGGAGAGAAATGCGCTCTTTTAACTCAGACGGCGTCATCCGAGTGGCCCTGGTCGAAACACGGTCTGTTTCATCAAGGACCAGCAACCGACCTATCAAGACAATTTACAGGCGCCTCGATCCCAGCTGGGCTCACTTTGTTTCATGCTCCGACGCTCCACGAATCAGCAAGCCAAGTTGGAGGTTGTGTATTTTGGTGACGGTGAGTAGTTACACTCAAAGACACAATATCTGTCGCTGCCCGTCTTTGTGCCTCGGTTTCAAGTTGTGATGATTCTCGTCATGGCGCTAATTCATGTCGTCCGTCTGTCTATCTTTGGAAGCGCTGGCACAACATGTTTCGTGGGCGGAGATTGTAGAACATACTTGAAACTCGCTCGCGCGCAACCATTGCCAGCAAAAGCCCTAGCCTCATCTCTTGTGCATGAAGGTGACCAGAATTCCATCTTCTATGCACACCAGATTTTAGCGGCGGCTCTGCCCTTGTCTTTTCGTCACGATCAGCGTGGCATGTGGAGCTCTTTTTCCCTCTGGAACTCTGTAGCGACGCCGCGCGATCAGATCGGCCATCCAATCATCCCTTCCATCTGGTCTGGTCTGGTCTGGTCTGATTCCGGGGATCGCTTCGTGTTGACCTCTTTGTGCATACGTATTGTTCGCGGTGGAGTTTTACCCGACTCTCGGGCCATTCGTAGCATCAACAATTGCTCCCTGCATGTAACATGGTGTCGGGCAACTCTTCAGGTCCTTCACATTAGCGAGTCAGCAGCTCATCCAACCATCCGGCGTCTATTGATTCGTGAGTCTTCCATCCATCACAGCGTGATTGTTAGCCTACAGGGGCCACATCTGACGCTTCAGAGCTGGCCAAGCACCCCATCCCCCCCCAAACCTGAACCAGGCTACTAAGGTAGGTAATGAAGCACCACTTCACCGTTCACGGAGGTACCTGTAGGTCTTGTAGATACCTGGCTGATGCAGCTGATAGGCACTACCAATGCGCACTAAAATGTTCTAGCTCAAAGTACCCGCTGTCTTGGTGGTACCTTCGCCGCAACCACCGTCAGTCCCCTGCTCATTCTCCATTCCCCT